ATTTCACATTACATAACACATACCTGCGTTAGTTGTTTTCTGAAGTGGAAAGTTACATCAAATTTCGATATTTCTTTATCTCGTCGAGAGATAACCTCTTGTTTATGTAGAGAGATTTTTACAGTTTGGATGTGAGATAAGTGTGCATTTATTCGACCGATATAATTTCGGAGGTCATTCCACAGTTGAAAGTGAACTAAGTGGCCCGGTTTTCAAGATGCAGGAACAAGTGACAGATTCTCAAACTTTACGGGATATAGCCACCCGCATAAGGATCCACAGCGTGGAATCGACATCTGCGGCTAACTCTGGGTGAGATTTACTAATCCAAAATTTTACGGGAAGAAAGATTATAGGACACCAAATACAAATGCATTTGTTATCTGTTCATTTTCCATGTTTCCAAGGGCTACAGCTGCGGCTCTGAGAATAGGTTCTTATTAAGGAAAAAAATACGCTTTTATTTTGTCTACAAACAGTGGTATATCGCTTTCGACGACCTCTGGTTCTCCGAGACTGATCTGAAGTCTTCTTCTCAGGGTATTAATATTTGTGCTAGAAACATTGAAACTGTCTTTGAAAGATTCCCATATTTTTTTGTATCAAGGTGAAAAAGTGAAAAGACCGAAACTTTTCTTTTTCAAAAATTATTCCCTCCTAAAAATATACTCCTTCCAATTAAAACTTTATTAGCCTTGTAAATAACAATTCAATATCAACAACATCTGAGGACAAGTAGTTTAATTGAGTTACGTAAGATGTAAAATATGGTTCACATTCACTGAATAGTGCTTAATAGAAATCACAATGTCTACGGCCTCAAAAATGAATATAAATGATCCCAACAGTGGGGATCACCAATGCGGTGTTATACAAAAATCAGTTGGATTAAACAACTCTAGATTATCAATACAAAAAAATTATACTATATCAGTATAGTATATCCAAAAAAAATACCGAACTTCAACATNTCATCTCTGTACTTCAAGCCTGACAGTACCCTTATAGCTTTTCTTTGCATGCCGAAGACTTCTGCAGCGTGTGGAGAGTGTCCCCAAAAAATAACATAAACATAAAGCAATTTGGAAAATATGCCAAAAACTTTTTTCTCATAAGAAAATGCTTTTATTCTCTAGACTCTAGAGGAATACTTAACATATAAGTTTTAGTCTTTCTATGAAATGTGAGATGCGGAGAACGATTTACTTATATCTTTCTTATTAGTTAGTGGGCAATGCTTGAAAACAGGCAGTAAACAAATCCAAAGAAATGAAATTTAAATGTTCAAGCTCGTCTCGGATATACCTACCTACCTGTACAGTAGGTTGAATGGACTGACGCCTATCAGAAAACAACTACTCCACTGGCTAATACCTCGAACGGAGTTGGACTATATCCGACAGGCGTCAGTGGAGGAATCTTCATAGAAAATTTCCTGCATATGCAATTGGCAATACAACTAAAAGAGTCGACTTTCAATTTTGGAACGGGCACACTTGCAGACCGGTTTCGGGCTCATTAGCCACTTGTCAGTGCAAGATAGTGGCACTGTAGTTGTTTTCTGATAGGCGTCAGTCCATTCAACCTACTGTGTAGGTATATCCGAGACATATATCCCTTTTTTACAACAAAAAATCTCCCAACACGCAAAACATTCGTAACTTTCAAGTCTCTCACCAACGAACTAAACATGCTGAATTGATGTAACGGTGAAGATCAAATGAACAATCGATAATAGATGTTTCTGAGGACATATAGCTAATAGAGATGTCTCCCACCTCTCCATAAGCTATATGTTAATGTATTAGTCAGTTTCACAAAAATACAATTATATACAAAAGAATTCACGTCTTCATTTCACTTGGCTCTTTTTCCAGCCATCCAACAACATCTTCCTCCATCGCCGAAATCCTCTCCGTCCTCTTCTTCAACACCATGAGGTACAAAGTCAGC